AATATAAAGAGGAGAGTAATTACCTTTTAAATAGTTTATAAAAGATATTTATAACTCTCGTGTATATATATATAATTAACAATCTAAATAATTTAGTGATCATCTCTTTTCGTTAAAAGTAAGATATTTTAAATTTGAGTTGCATAGTATATAATTGGGGTGAACAAAGAAATGAGATATAATTGCTTCTCATTATATAATCAAGATTTTAAAAAAAAAAAAAAGACTCTAAAAAAAAGGTTAAAACCCCATTTTGGTCCCCGAACTATTATACGGACCTCCGATTTGGTCCCTAAACTAAAAAAATCCCTGATTTGGTCCCTACTATTTACCATTTTAACCCCGATTTGGTCCTTCCGTTAAATATCCACCTACGTGTCTTGTTACTTGACAGAGAAAAGGATGACATGTTAAAACATTTTGACACCTAGGATGTACAGCGTGGTAAAGAAATGAGATGGCAAAAAATTACTTTAAAAATTTTCTTTTTTTTTTTCTTTCTTTGTTTTTCTTTTTACCCTTTCTTCTTCCTCTCCCTTTCCTTTTCACCTTCTGCAAACCCTAACATTTCCTAATATTAAATCCAAAAATAACACAACAAATCAACAGATAGAAATCAATAGATCCTTCAATCCAACTGCAGTTGGGCTAGAAACAAAAGCTAGGTTTGAAATCGAATTCAGCACCTGCAAAAATATGAGGATAACATAACAGATAACAAATCCATAAATAGATCAAACTCAACAAATCCATCGACTCAACGACTGCTGAGTTTGAAACAGAACCCAACAAACAACAGATCAATAAACAAATGGAACTCAACTGATCCATTGACCCAACGGTTGCTGGGTTCGAAACGGAACCCAGTGCCTGCTGGGTTCGAAATCGAACCCAGCACCTGCAGGAACCCAGCGGCTGCTGGGTTCGATTGCTTGCTAGGTTTGAAATCGAACCCAGCACCTATGCCTTCCTCATCTTCATCCACCTGCAAAAACCCAATGGCTGCCTTGCCTTTTTCATCTTCATCAATCAATTTCTCATATCATCAAACAACAAAACCCAACAAAGAAAACAGAAATTTCTTTTTTTTTTGGAACCCAGGGCTGGGTCTTAAGGAACCCAGGCATGCTGGGAATCAAACCCAGGCGCTGGGTTTAGTGGAACCTAGCATGCTTGGGTTGCGTCGAACCCAGGCGTCGCCTGGGTTGCGTCCGACCCAGGCGACGCCTGGGTTTCGTTCGACCTAAGCGACGCCTGGGTTCCGTCCAACCAGGCGTAGGGGAAAGAGAAGGGGAAGGGGAAGGGGAAGGGTAAAGAGAAAAGGAAAGGGAAGGTAAAAGAAAAAAAAAATTTTAGTTTTATTTTTTATAATATTTTTTTATATTATTATTTTTTCCATGTCATCATTTTTTTTGGTCTTATTGTCTTCCACGTGTATTAATATTTGACATGTCATCATTTTGCCGTCAAGTAACAAGACACGTAAGCGGATATTTAACGGAAGGACCAAATCGGGGTTAAAATGGTAAACAGTAGGGACCAAATCAGGGATTTTTTTAGTTTAGGGATCAAATCGAGGGTCCATACAATAGTTCAGGGACCAATGGGGTTTTAACAAAAAAAAAATGAACTCTCGTATATGATATTCACTTTACAATGGTCAATTCTTATTGAACCAGTGGTTATCAGTTGTGCAGTGGTTCCCTTATAAGGCCCATCTTTCAATGGGCCTGGAGTTTGGGCTTATGGCCTATTATGTGCAATGGGATGGAATTGGGCTACCATCCCAATACGTCTAGAGAAATATCCACGGACATATCAGCATCATTTACTGCTGGAAAATGGTTCGAACCACATAGACAGTAGACATCTTGGAATGGAGTGGCCATAAAGAAACTAGTACTGATATCATATATTACAATGCTTTCTAGAGTTTTATACTGCAGGTTAGGGTCTGTAGCATTCAAAAAATAAAGCAAGTTCTTGTTAACAACACAAAAACTCATGCTGGCTTCAGGCAATGGGGTTTTTAGTTAGACCCAAAGAAAATAAGGAATGTAATCTTAATATAGCGTTAATTATTGAAGGGTTCAGTGAACCTTATCATGTTTACTATATTTTATGTTCCTGTGAAATTTTTGTTTCTTATGTCAACCTCATCTACCACCAACTATGGTCGTAATTTGCAATTATTAAAATCCAAGTTAGTGCTCACCGGTCACCCTGCCTTTAATCAAAAGCATGCGCATGTAGAATTGTGAAATTTTTATTATTTTAAATTAATTTGCCACCTAAGATTTTAAAGTCTCAATTGTTTTTACTTTTTTTTTTTATCACTTATTTTCACTTAACTAAATGTATAAATTTATGTACGTTTTACTCATTTAATATTACACAACTATTATAAAGATTTATTGTCAATATTATTGAGGAATCACTGTCATTTCCTGCTCTTAGAACACATTACTCAGAAGAATCTCAGAAATGAGCACGGGACTCGGAGTGAAAATGGAAAAACATTACCCTTGAGCTTGTAGCTCTGCTTGCAAAAGTGCATGTTTCGCATTCAAAAGAGATTGGGTTCGGATTGGCTAGACATTTAATTCTTTTATGTTTAAAGATGTGCTTTAGTGTAGAGATTTTGAGCCATAATTTTGATCTCAAAATTAAGATTTTATAACGAGGTTAGTTGTGAATATAGCTTCATATCATAGCACACCAATTGCAAGACAAACTTAAAAAACAGAATCTCAAAATCTGGATTAAGGTCTGTTATTACAAAGTAAGAAACAGAATCTCTTCTCACCAACGCCTTACAAACCCATTTTCATTATCATAAAAGGGATTCAATCAGCTCCAACGAGCAGGACCGTAGTCCCCTCAGCAATTTCTATCTAAAGAAACTGGATGGGAGCCAAAGATAAGTTTATGACCCCACATCTTATTTCAACTTCGAATGTCCATTATCACAAGACACAGCCCTTTTATTTGAATAAGATTTGCCAGGCTTTCAGTAAAACTCCACCCCGGAAACAAGCATTTCTACAGCTAGAGTTGTTGGCTCAAGAGCTTACGAGAACAAATAGTGGTGTATCTCCTAACCTTTCCCTACCCTGAAATACAAACAAAAAAGTGGAAGCAAACCGTAAGAATAAATAAAATCAGAGGCGATTGAATAAAATAAAATAGCATAATGGATGAGTCTATGCGTAAATTTCTTTGTTCTGCACATTGCTACATGCTATTTAAGCAGAGATATCTCCCTGTTAACCTCAAAAATCAAAACTACTCTTACTATTTACTTTTGCGGATCATGATGATTTATACATAGTGCCTTGCTGATTTCCAAATGGGATGCACGGTACAGGAAACTGAATATAGAAATGGTAATTTATAATTTCGAAAGAAGATTGGTGTTTGAGATTAAGAACACGCACCTTTAGCTCTGCCAATTCAATAACACTAGCACACTCAACAACATGCACTCCAACACGCTCTGCAACAAGAAACTAACACAGTAGGTGGCAATATTCTTAAAACATTAGGAAGAGCAAGAGAAGGGTTAAATCCCGAACTACTACACAGAGACTTTAGTTAAAAGGAACTGAGCTCCTCCTACTCAAACCAACAGGTTACTAGTCAAAAGCATGTTTCTTTGGAGATAATTCAACAGTACCAAAGCAAGTAAAGGTAACCAGAACAGAAATTTCAATAGCTTCCACAGAATTTCATGTGATTCTATAAAAATGCTGGAAATTGAGCAAAAACAATTATTCAAAAAACATTGTTAGCATATTACAGGGGGGAAAGGTGAGCATAATGTCTTGCAAATGATGAAGAAATTTAAGTACCAAGTAGCTTGATTGCAGCACATAAGGTCCCACCAGTTGCAATAAGATCATCTATTACCAAAGCACGTTCTCCTGGTTGTACAGCACCAACATGCATTTCCATTATGTCTGTTCCATACTCCAAAGAATACTCTTCTGATATAACCTCCCCTAATGTAACATCCAAGCTTTAAGCATTCAGCACAACTAATTTTGTTAAGAGTTAAGACTAGCCTAAAAGTCTGCATAGAATAATACAAAATCATTTCATCTCAATACAGGCGCATAAGAATTGGCTTCTGACTAGTAATATATAGGCACAATCAATATGTGCAACATAAACCCAGCAAGAAACTAATGTACTGTTTGCCAATTAAAGTATTGTTTGACAATGGTGCTTCATTATAGAGCTGGAAGTCTGAGACTATGATGAATTTTGTTCCTTCAATAACTACTTGAGGCTTCTTTCCTAATTAAGAGAAAAATGTTGAAGAATACAAACCAGGCAACTTATTAGGTTTTCTCATAGGAACAAACTTTGCCCCAATAGCCAATGCGATAGGAGGGCCAAATATGAACCCCCTTGCTTCAACACCTACAATATGCCATAGACATTACATTTAGTACAAAATCAAATAAATTTTTTGTGCAAATAGAAGACCAAAGACTTTATTAATTAAACTAAAAAAGAAAAGAAAGGGAAAAAAAAAAAAAAAAAGAGCAAGTGCAAACTTCAACATCATGAATATTAACAATACTCAAATATTCAAAGTTCCATTTTATGATCAATCCAAGTTCATAACTATGTTGAATCTCAAATAAAACCTTCACCGATAAATCTACTGTGAAAACTAGAAAATTATATGTTGATCATCTAAATAAATTACCTGCAACAACAGAGATATCTTTCCCTCTGTACCTTTCTACAAACAAATCAATAGTATCCCTAAAAGCCTTTATATCAAGAAGCAAGGTTGTTATATCTTGAAACAAAATCCCTGCCAAAAAAAAAGAAACAGAAAAACTACTAAAAAAAACCACCAATCAACACAAAAACACTAACCATACAAACATTAATGTCAAAAAAAAAAAAAAAAAGGATTATTCAGCCCAAACACAAGTATGAGCAGAGTAGAGCGAGAAGCAGAGTACCTTTCTTTGGAAAGTCTGGGATAACTCGAATGGCAGACGAAATTCTCGCAATTCTGGGATCTCGATCATCTTGAGACGCCATTTTCCGATCAGATCCTGAGTCACTCTCCGTCGCTGCTCAAACTCAACAATGCACCAGTCAGACGCCAGAGACTTGGCGGAGGAGATGCATAAGAGTTGACCAATAACAATAAAAGTACTTTATTACTTCCAGATTGAATTATCCTTTCCTAAAACATCTATCCATCGTGTAATTTTACTACAATAACCCTTAAGCAACAGTAGTAAAGGCCAAGTCGTTTCACAGGGAATTACCGGAACAGCGCAGAGAAGAAGAACAGATGGTTCTGTAAATTTGCGCGCGTGCCACCGTCAGTTGGAGATTGGAGAAAGCGGCGATCCGGCGAGGGAGTAGTCCGAGCGGAGGAGAAGCGCCTGAAGGCTTAGGAGGCGAGATTGGATTTGAAGAAGAGAGAAGTGAAGATCTGTGCAACATCAGCTCAGTGATGACAGCTGATCGAAAAACGTGGAGGGGAAGAAAACCAGAATCCAAACGGAAAGCTGAATTAAATTTAACTACTACTACTAGCTCTGAGTATAATTTCCGAGTAGAAGATAACGAGGGCAATTTCGTCCGGACGCAATCATAATGTGTGTTTGCCAACAGTAATTTTCTATTATTCCATTGGGAATTATTTTTTTTTTTATTTACACATTAATACTAGTATAATATTACAAAATATAGTAAGGGAAAATATGCGTTTTTATTCGATTTTCGCTTTTTATTTTTACAAATTCTCGATTAAAGAAGTTTTACCGTCGATTATCTAAATACTTTAATGATTATTTTTTTTTATTAAAAGTAAAAAATTTTTAAGTCACATTATATATGAATGAAATGAGATAAAAAATAAATAATAATTGTTTCTCATTATATAATTAAAATTAAAAAAATAAAATATAAAAATTCCTCCTTTTTGGGAAGAGTTCTTGGCCTCTATTTGATTCAATTAATTCGAACCTGCTATAATAGTTTATAGATATCAAATATATTTGTTGTTATTAACAACTCAAATATTATTATTTGTTAGATATAATATATTATTTATCATTTAAAACATTTAAATTAAATAAAAAATTTAATTGATTGAAATTGTTTAAATATTTTTAATAAATTTTTTCATATATTGATTTATTAAATATATTTAAATCTATTTTTTATTATGCTTAATCATATTTTAATTATCAATAACATTTTAATTTTTTTGAATCCCTAAAATGTAAAGTAACAATTGTAACAAGATTTCACTAAAGTTCCTTTTTCAATCACTAACAATTAAAAA